TCTCAGCAGCTCTTGTTCACAACTTCCGTCTGGGCTGTCCGCGCAGAAACGATAGCCCAATTTCCGGCGTTGCTATAATCTTCTTGTGATTTGTCAGGGTCCATAACCCAAGGTCCACTTATAGGCACCATATTGGGGATGAGAGGGAAATTCGCTTAACTTTGCCTACACTACTGAATAGGACAATATAGTGTACGAAATACGACAGCACTTAGATGAAACAGTGAAGCGTGATGAACGCGATGTATAAACTCAGTATAAACATCAGAAGGAGAACACTGAAAGCACCAACAATGTCAATTTCATCAGCGTTCCTGAGTCTGTCAGAAAAACCTACAGCTCTTAGAAATGTCGGCTGTGTTGAACTGGTGACTTAAACTGAGCTAGAACAGCCGAAATGTCTGATGAGACTAGTTTGGGCCAGGAATCTAATATTTCTGTTTAGTGTGTTACAACATTGTTCATACTCATAGCCAAAAGCGTTGGCTGCCATCGACACTGCTAATGACCCATGCTCGATTAGTGTTTAAGACATTACATTTGTTCATTACTATTTTCTCCTCATTAAGTTACGTTCTAAATGACTGGCAAAGGACACTTGCACGTTCCGGACACAGAAAGTACACGGCAATGATACATGTTGTTCACAGTGAATTACGTCAAAAAAGCTTGCATAGGAACGGTTCGGTGTTACCGTTTAGTGACACCTGTTAAAGTACAGACGGCCTCTCACACTAACTGTTTCGGACTGTGAAGCGTACATCCCGAAAAACGAGACACGGAATTTTGCAAAGATCTACCAATAGTCTGCTCCCTCTAGCTTCCATTGGATAAACTGGTGTGTTGCAAAGCCGTTGTGTGATGAATCGATCCAGCTGACAGAAGGCGGTTCAGTTGATGGACAAAAACTAGTCACTAATAAATTACCTACATACATGGTTCGACTGGAAAACAAAGAGATATCAGCCAATTCAAAGCAACCAATGAATGAAGCAGAATATGCTATCCTCAAAATCGAAATCGAACCGATAATGTGGGCCGACAAGCGGTGGTCTTCGCTTCAAACGTGACAAATATTAGAAAGCTTAGCCATTTCTACACGTTTTCAGCATAGTACCCTGATTTTTGACAGGAAATCTGATCATAACATGGAAGGTAGAGGAGGATGTTCCAGTGAAAATTTGCTTCACGCTTCAGTTTTTCGCAACGCTAATTGTTTGTGTACTAACTGATGAGAAGGAGGCGATCAATTTTTGATGTCATTGGAAATCTAATTTACGGAATTCAGCAGACTACAGCAAGAGTGCAAAAAGAAAGTAGCATATAACCGGTCTTTTTACGGTTATGCCCTGAGGGGATATATGTTGATCCTGGATAGTTTATGCTGCCATCCGGGTGAGTACAACCGTTCAATACAATAGGAGCACTGGTCAAAGCTCTTCGTTTGAGTTTCTGGGTTAACCTTCTGTATTCTTTGGTGTCTTATATATTTCAGATGCCTTATGTTAAAACTTTTGCGCTGTACCAGGTTTCATTTTATTGTTGATTGGCTTTATTTTTACTATTTAGTTTTCTGACTATTGACATGTACATCTAGGTGAGTACGCTCAAACTAAAGGGAGAACAAATTGCTTATTCTTTTAACTTCCTTGGCGTGGGCTGTCGGGTTCCTTGTTTGTTACCGTTGTCAACTCACAAAATGTACCATATTTTTCTGGACGTTACTGTGTTGCATGTCACTGTTATTTGTTGTGCTGTACTACATTAAATTTTACTCCTTTTAGTTGGACTTATTCTACTTTCAATATGCTCCATGTGTGGATCTATAGATGATTTGCTGCTACACTTTGAGCTGCAGGCTCGTCGATTTTTCTCATTGACTACTGCTGCATTATACCATGCTGAATTGTCATAATTTGAATTATTATACCGTATTTTATATGACTGGGTCTCACTTCGCGTTTGATTTACATAGATCATGCTAAGTGTCATGCCTATAAGGTGCTATAGATGACTCTGTACTACCACGATCGTATAGGCCAATCTGAATGATGGTGGGTGCCGGTTAGCCATACGTGTGTGCCTACTTGCGTATCATGATTTGTGAGGGCCACCTGGCAACTTTAAGTAACCAGTGTGCTTCAACTCACCACTTGTCCACATCCAACAATTGTGAGCTACCAGTTGGTCATGCTGATGACTATCGAACAACCCCAATCGGATTACCCCCGCACCATGCCTTACTCTTCCAGATTTACACCTGCTAAAGGGCGCTTGGTTGAAGGCAATTGGGGTTCAGCGCTGACCGCTTTGGCAATATTTAATGTGAGTGTGCTTCAATCGGTATAGAATGAAGTGAGAATCCAGTCCAGAAATGGATACCAGGAGGCCAAGTTGATGTCAACACGTCGGCTACACATCTGTGATGTGTTTCCCTCATGAGATGTTGGACAATCAAGCAGAATTGTCTATAAAGTTGACCACACTAAGCATAGGTTTGCGGATGCTGATACAAAATATGTTTAGTTACGGTATGTTATGGATCAAAAGTAACTTTAAATTGAAAGTTGAACTATGCGTGCCAGACGTGGTGCACTACTCATAAGGTTGCTGAATATTCCTGGACAACCCACGACTTGTTTGGCCCTTCTTGGGCTAATACGTCAACATTATATTCTACTTGAATCCAAATTGCGCAAAATTAGCAAAGTAATTTGTTTTTGGGGGCAATCGCCTGGAACCCAGCAGAATCCCCCGTTTATAAAGTTCTTAAGCAGCGGAGTCTCACGCGAAACCAAACTGGCTTGCAAATGAATGTGCTTCGCTAATTATGTTTGCCAGGTTTGTAAACCTCCGGTATAAAATGCAAGATTAGTATAATTGCAACACCAGTGAAATTCCAAGGTGTCAGGTTTACTTTCAAAGAAAACGTCTTAACATCGTCACTCCCGAATTCGGAAATTCGAGAAAAACCTAACCCTCGTGTACATGAACCCTAGCAGAGTGTATTTCAAACAAAATGTGGATAATCATGTGTTGGATCCTGAATTAAACATAAAAGAGTGCAGCTTGTAATTATTAGCCAAAAATTATACAGATGGATGAATGAAAGACGTTAAATGACCTAAGCGGGTCTTACAAAACAAGGATTCTATCGCTTATCTTCCCAATTGAGAGGTTTCAAAATGTCTCTGGAAAATTATGCCTTTACTCAAAAGCTAAAATCTACTGCAAAACTGCGTCATCCCTTGTGAGGATCCGAAAGCCAGGAAAGAATCGGAACCGTTCTTCTTTCCACCGAAAAGCTCAGTAATGGGTCATCAGACTTCTCATCGAAAGGTTCTCTATCAGAACCTTGCTCGAGGTTCCTAACCTTTTGCACTGGATGGTTCTTGGTTTTTGCATTCACCTTGAGATCTCAGTCTAAGCTTTATGAAAGCTCTTTTGAACTGAAAACTCCATGAAATGAAGGCAAAATATCCTGCTGATTTATTTGATCTTGTTTTAGAATTCTTGACATTTGTTTCGAGAACGTATATCACAATATCATGTACCGTTAGGTAGACCTTCTGAAGTAAACCCTAGAAAAAATATTAGGTCTTGTGCAAAAATCCAAACAGTGGGTCGCTTTCGGGCCACTGTTTTTTCAAAAGTAAAGTTTTCGCAAACCTCTGAGCCATTCATCTTCCAAATGTATCTGCCAGTTTTTAATTCAAGGCTAGATTAGGGCTCTTAAGACAATTGAGATGATTAAGAACAGAAACAGAGTAAACTGTCCTTAGATCCTCCATGAAAAACGCAGTGAACTGGGGTAGACCAAGATTCAAAACATAAACAAAACTCGCCGTGCAATTACGACTTGGAAACAGAGTCAAACTGTTTACAGTACAATTGTGTAATTTAAGGGCGATTTGGGTGTGACTAATAAAAAAACGGAAAAACCAAATAAACTGCCTGAAAAAATTTGTCCTCACTCTCTCTGCATACTGGCTTAATTGGTACGCTTGTTTACAGTTGATTCGGTTTCCCTAAATCAGAATGTCATGGAAAGGGCAAAATGGAATATGTGAATTTAGGAGCGCAAAGGATGCCAACATGCAACTATTCTTTTTCACCATACGTTGGTTCGGTGTTGTTGAAGGGTGTGGACAATTTCTGTGTGGGTTTGAGAACAGCTATTAAACTCCTAATTGCAGTTCACAGGATATTTCAAACTGGATTGTGTGTAACTGCGCGAAACTAGCGTGACCATACTGTTTATGAGAATGAACTATATCAGCTTCGTATGAAGTTCTCTGTGGGGTGCTGGGAAAGTTCTTCAGAGGAGAAACATGGATGTGAGTTTGATATTTGAAGAAATTACACTGAAATGAACAACAAAGAAACATGTCGAAAATCTTATCACTGTATAAAACCATGCTTGCTTTGAAAGCTGCTCTTGTTTTCATTCGACAGTGTTTGGTTCGATTGGTATTGGGTTTACTGCGATCCGGGACTGATCTACCATCCAATAGTGGTTGATAATTTAGAGGCCTGTGTATAGTCGTTAAGACTCAAGCAATTTTGCATGGTGCCCAGTTTGGTGCTAGCAGTAACCTGCTGATACTCGACGGGCTAGGGTAGACGGACAAGGAAGTAGAAGGCTATTGGGAGCCATCATCTAGCTTAAACGCAGAAGCAAAGGAATGAACACCAATACTAAATCTTTTGTAACGACTTGACAGCTTCCTTCGTTAATTCTTCCAGGTTTCTTTGGGATTCCGTACTTCTATGGAGATATTGCCATAATTGTGCCTTCTGAGGGATGCCGACTGGTTCGCATCAGATAGTCAGGCGGTGTACTTTTGGTCGGATTAATACCAATACGGTAACCTCGTAGTACAAAAGTAGTGTATGTAGGGTAGGTTGCCGTGTTATAAATCTTCTGTGGAACCAGCCGATCTCCCAGGTTGTACACATGAGGGAAGAAGCTTCATCTTTCAAATTTACTACCTCGACAGATAGCGCATCTTCGCCAGAGGACTTCGCATTGGTAGTGTTGTGGAATATGGGTAGCTCGGGTGTGCTGACTGGTTGTTTGTCTGTTCGCCGAGCTTGGCAGTTGGATTACAAACGTTTCATCACCAGTCGAGGTGAATTCATCAGTGCGGCGTCCAACCGTTGACAGTAGACGTCGCTCGCTCACTTTCACGCTTCAAACTGGAAACGGTCCGAATATCCCTTTCACAGTTTGTCTGTGGCTACAAGTTTGAGCTATGAGATCACTTGCTGCTACACACGACCGGCTCATTTTGAATTTCACGGTTTTTTTCGGACGCATTCAGACTGTATGAGTTAGCGCGCCAACCATCACGGTCAACTGTCGAGTGGTGAGAGTGTGCGGTTTTATGACTCATTTTACTAACCTACGCTTCCTCGAAGGAGGGTGGAATTGCTGCCTCGGGAGATAAGACAATGCTATCCACGGAGGAAAAGTAAAACAGTCACATTTCTGTCGCATAGAGAAACGCTGCCTCGCAACACAATAGCCCTTTGCTTGGTTGCCTTTCTTCAACCTTTTCGGTGTCGTAATACCTCGAGGAACGAAGTTTCAGCCCACGATTTACACGATCATTGCACCGTTGAAGATTAACCACATAGAGAAAGCCTCGCAACACAATAGCCCTTTGCTTGGTTGCCTTTCTTCAACCTTTTCGGTGTCGTAATACCTCGAGGAACGAAGTTTGTTTC